TTCCTTTATGGCTTCAGCCAGTTGTTTTTTAATAGCATATTTCTCATTTTGTGTTTGTTTGATATTTCCTCACAATTAAATTAAAATTATTTATTCCTGTAGGACACTGTATTTATCTTATAGGCAACTGTAGTTTTGATAACTCAGGCACAGTATTGTCTGGTTCTCTATAAGTTACTATGAGCCCCCTGGCAACTAGCGGGGAGAGGGCACCATAAGACCACAAAAGATCTGGGGGTGTGGCTCAAGTGGTAGACCAAAAGCACTAGGTTCAAACCTGAGTTCAAACCACAGAACCAACAAACAGACAAAAAAATAAATAAATAAACAAGACCACACACTATCCTGCTCTACATCAAAACTCTTTCTCAAGCTTGACCCCAAGCTTAATACTCACTGATGATTCTTGCCCACTCAGTCTTTACTATGATAATTGCAAAATGATTCTCTAGTTTTACACTCACTCTACTTTTTTTTTTTTTTTTCAGTACTAGGGTTTTGAACTTAGGACCTCACCCTGGCAAGGCAAGCACTCTACCACTTGAACCATGGCCTTCAGTCCTTTTTGCTTTTGTTATTTTATCAGCTAGGGTCTCATGCTTTTGACCAGGCCAGCTTCAGACTGCAATTCTCCTACCTCTGCCTCCTATGTAGTTGGGATTGTAGGTGTGGGCCACCATTCCCAGCTTGTTCTTTGAGATAGAATCTCACTAACTTTTTGCCCCTGCTGTCTTCAAACCACAATCTTCCTACTTCCACCTCAAAGTAGCTGGGACTGCAGGAATGAGCCATCATACCTAGCCCTAACTCCACATTTATGAACAAGCATCCTACTCTTTGGAAAAGTCCTCCCTTTCATCTATCTGCCTATCTATCTGTGTGTCTGTTTGCTGTTTATCTATCTACCTACCAGTCTTTTCTAATAGCATCATAGCTTCCTATTTTTTTCAGTGGCTCAATAGTGTCCTTATTTTTTTTTGATGCTAAAATAGTCTCAGATTTGGCCAGGAACAGCCTCTTTAAGCAAGCTCCTATATTCTTTCAATATGCCTCCTTCATTAAAAAAACACTTCCCTGCTTTTGCGGTAACAGTAAGATGTTCTTTACTTATACCTTTCCTGCCCCACCCAGGAGACCAGTGATTTCCTCAAAGTTCTCTGGTTCCTTCTAGTGACAAATGATATTAGAAAAAAAGATATGAGTGAAAGGTGGACTCATTGCTATCAGGGTAAATCTAAGTCTAGACCTGTGTTGTCCTCTTTGATGGCCATTATCCATATGTAGTTACCTAAATTTAAGTGAATAAAAATAAATGAAAAATTCAGTTCCTAAACTGAATGAACCACATTGCATGTGCTCAAAAGCTACATTTGTCTAGCAGCTACCATACCAGACAGAACAGATTCATATGAATATAGAACATTTGAATCATTACAGAAAGTTCTACTTGACATCAGTATTCTAGCTCCTTAGGGTAGGCAAGTCTATGAGACACACACAGCAAGCCTTTCTTCAGTGCTTTTAAATATCTTCCTATGGTTCAAAACATAAATTTTATAATACATCAACTATATATTGAGCACATATAATTAAACAGATGATATTTCAGGCCCTGTAGATTCAGAAATAGAGTGTTTACTCTCTTAGAAACTTACTATTTAAATAGAAGTCAGAAAATAGATTAACTGTAACAGAATGGTATGATACATTTCAACATACTGACGTTAAAACAAGGTACTATAACAACATATATCCCATACTAGTAATGTCAACAAAGTTTCTTGAGAGAAATGACATTTAAATTTTATTTAATTTTATTTAAATTTTAATTATTTATGAAAGTAAATAATTACTAGCCTGGCAATTTGGAGGAAAAATTAGAGGCAGAAGCATTTAATATTGTCCATCACTTTTTTTATTTCTCTACCAATTATTCATTTGGGACTTTTCTTCCTCTCACCTGTACCCTTTCAAAACTCTGCTGATCTTTCAAATCTCAGATTGTTAAAATACATTTTTTAATACCTTTAACCAGGAAAAACTCCAAATACATTTATGTCTGCTGATTTCTGGCATGGGAATATTAGATTTATTTTTGTTATTAATGCAATAGGTAAGAACACAAACTTTGGAGCCAGACATTGCTTGCTAGCTATATGACCTTGGGCAAGTTATTTAACCTGCCTCAAAGATCCTCAGCTTCTGGATCTGAAGGTGGGATTAATACTACCTGATAGTTGTCTATTTTCTGATTAAATAAAATAATGTATAGAAATGCTTAGCACAGTGATTTGAATATGACAAGCTATGTAGTCTACTAGTAGTAAAACTCTTACAACTTGCTTCTTCCTTTTTTTCCTTAAAGTTGTAAAATTTCCTAGGCTAGTATTTTACATAATCATCCCACATTACTTTATTTTAATAATAGCTGAGAAACCACCTAAATTATTTAAGCAGATTTCATCTAGTCAGAATACTATGGCATATTTCTATGTAAAGTATTTTAGATAGACAATGGTATTTATGACTAGGAAATCACAAATTACATTTCAACTATCTATTGCTTATAACAACTTAAAAAACTATAAATAAAGATAATTTCCTCCTAAGTTCACTTAGCTAAAAATTGGGGGGCAAGGATGGTACTGGGGGTTGAACTCAGGGCTTTGTGCTTTGCTACACAGATGCTCCACCACTGGAGCCACATCTCTAGCTCTTTTTGTTCTTATTTTTTTGAAGATCAGGTCTTCCTCTTTGCCCAGGCTGACCTGAATCAATACCCTCCAATTTTATGCTTCTCACCATCACTGTAATGACAGGTGCCCACCCCCACCCCCACCAACATTTTTTCCATTGAGAAGGAGTTTCATGAACTTTTTTTGTCCACGCTGGCTTGGAACCATGATGTTCACCATCTCAACCACCCTTGTGTCACTTGGGATGACAGGTATACACCACTGTGCCCAGCTATTGGTTGAGATAGGATCTCACTAACTTTTTGCCCAAGATACCCTTGAACCATGATACTCCCAATTGCTAAGTAGCTAGGATTATAGATGTGAACCACCAGGCACCCACCTTTAGGTAACAGTTTCTTAAGTTAGGAAATAAACAAGTATCTAAAGAATATTTTCAAGATGGGAATATTTTACTAATATCAGAACTACCTAACTGGTAAAAATCATCTTTAAAAAAATTTGTATTTACAATGGGATTTTTATAAAACAAAACTTAAAATTAATTTTTATACAAATATATTTAAGATAGTTAATGTAGTAATAAAAAGAAACAAGTAATATTAACTAATAGCGTCAAGGATAATTTCTTTTCTTTGATGTATTATTAAAAATCCACTGCAAGTGGGAAGCCCTGGGTTCAAATCCCAGTCCCAACAAAAATAGAAAAATCTATTGCCCAGCACATGTGAGGCCCTAGGATCAATGCCCAAGATCAAAGAAAGAGTGACAGAAGAAAGAAGGAAAGAAAATATAGAACAAGAAAAGAAAGAAAAGAAATCTAAAGCACTGGGGGGTGGGGGAGAACCAGGTACCAGTAGCTCAAACCTGTAATTCTAGCTATTTGGGAGGCTGAGATGAGGAGGATCACAGTTGGAGGTCAGCATAACAAATAGTTCCTGAGACTTCATCTCCCTAACAACCAGAGCAAAATACACGGAAGGCGTGGCTCAAGCAGTAGAACTTCTGCTTTGCAAGCACAAAGCCCTGAGTTCAAACTCTAATCCCACTTAAAAACAAAAAGTGGGAGAACATATTATACAGCAAGAACTAGAGATGTTATTTTGTCTTTCATTGTAGCACATTTAAATGGTGCACTGAAAGAAGTATAGTGATCTTTTTTTTTAACAAATAAGCATATGATTTCCAAAATGAATGCTTTTGATGAAGTATATTTTTCTTATATAAAGTATAAGCATAAGCATCTGAAATTGCAATACTTATGTTCCAGAAGAAGGAAAAGGACCACTCACCACAATTAACAAATACCACTCCTAAAATTAAGAGCTATATCTCTTTTTCAAAAATAACTCATAGCTGTGAAGACTTTCTTGACCTCTGCAAATATTCATAAGACAAATATGTAGTACATTTTTGTTTTCCTTATTACCCTCGCCAGTATACTTTAAAAATCACTGACATTTAATTTTCTTTCAAATTAGTTTAAACAAAATAGCAAAGCAAAATTCTTTTTAAACCAGGGGATAAGGGGCCTGGAGTGGTGATTTACACCTGTAATTCCAGATTTTTGAGTAATAGAGATGGGAGGACAGCCTAGGCAAAAAACAAAAACAAAAACACCAAAAAACTAGCAGGACCCTATTTCAAAGAATAAGCCATGGAGACTGGTGGAGTGGCTCAAGTGTTAGAGAAGCTGCCTAGCACCAGAGTTCAAACTCCAGTACAGCCAAAACAAAAACAAACAAACAAAAACCAACAAACCAGGTGTAGAACTGCCTGTCTTGAACCCCAATTACATGGGATGCAGAGGTAGGAGCAAGGAACTTCAAGGCCAGTCTCAGGCAAAATCACAAGACCCTAGCTGAAAAATAAGTAAAAGCAAAAAAGACTGTGGGGCATGGCTCAAGTCGTTCAGCACTTTCCTAGCAGCAAGAACCAGAATTCAAACCCTAGTACTGCCAAAAAATAAGTAAATAAATAAATAAATAAAGTGGCACTGGGGTATATAGCTCAGTGGCAGCGTACATGCTAACCTTGCAAAAGGTCTGGGTTAAATTATCAGCATCAATAAAACCAACAAATTAAAAAAAATAACTGGGGATGTGAGAAATTTTAAAGTATGTTGCTATGTTTTAAAAATTATCAAACCTCACTTACATATTGTCAACATTATATCACTTATAATCTGCATTTTTAAGCTTTCCATACGTTAACTGTGCTAAATAATTGTACAATCCACATACAGTTATACCAGAAATATAATGACAATGATCTTTGCTCTTGTTTTCAGAAAAGTTCCCTTACCTGAGTAGTCCAATAAAAAGGGGTGCTCAATCTGTAGAGTTTTCGTTTGTGGAAATTCTGAAGTGGCCTTGTTCGAGCTGCTGTACTCATGATTGTCAAGGATGGAGATTTCAATCTTGTCCTGTCTTTTCTCCTTTTCTTATTGTGCTTCTGATTAAGTAACCAGCTACTGGAGGGAGAGAGCTCTTCTAAATTCTCCGAAGCACTGAAATGCCATAACATAATTGGGAGTAGGAAGGGGTGGGAGGGAAAATAAAACAAAACAAATGAAAGAGACAAAGAAAATGAGATATAAATTGTGTAGGTTCATTATGATAAGAGTATTAATTTTGGCCAATTTTGTGGTAACAACTGGTGAAACAACTGATATTAATGGAGAATCACAAACTCAAATATAAATAATCTCTACTTTAACTCTGAACTACAAAACAAATATCCCAAAAGTTAGAAAATGCTGACAAGTTTTCTAATGTTGTTCCTTATAAAACAATAATTCACACACATTACCGTTTTAATTTTTTACATCAGATTTTTTTTTTGCATATGGGTGAATTTACAGAGGATTAAGTTGGGCTTAAACAGAGAGACCCCAAAATGATAGTGGGACACTTCAATACCCCACAATCCCCAATAAATAGGTCATCCAAACAAAAAAATCAACAGAGAAACCTCACATTAAAAGACACTATAGGCCAATTGAATTTAACAGGCATCTACAAAGTATTCAATCCAGCAGCTACACAATATGCATTCTCTTCGGCAGCCCGTGAAACTTTCTCCAAAGTAGATATTTTAGGGCACAAAGCAATCTTAGCAAATTTAACAAACTTGAAATAACTCTCTGTATCTATCAGATTGCAATGGAATAAAACTGTAACTCAACAGCAAAAGAAATTATAGAAACTATTCAAACACATGAAGACTGAACAACACATTACTGAATGACCAGTGGGTTACTGAATAGACAATGGGGAAAATCAAAAGTTCCTGGAATTCAATAAAAATGAAAATGCAACCTACCAGTACCTATGGGATACATAAAGAGAGCACTAAGGAGAAAGCTTATAGCTTTGAATACCTACATCAAAAAACACAGACTCTCAAATAAGTAGCCTAATGATGTACCACAAGATCCTAAAAAAACAAGAACAAGCCATACCCAAAAGTAGCATATGGAAAGAAATATTAAAAACTAGAGCAGAAATTAATAAAAAAGAGACAAAAAGTTATACAAATAATCAATGAAACAGGGATTCCAAGATGGCAGCTAGAGGGAGGAAGCAGAAAGCGTGCCTCCTACCGTGAAATCTTGGAGAAACTCTGGAGACACACTTTGCAGGCAAGGCCACCAAGAAGAGGCAAAACTTTGACCCCTCCACACCTCCAGCCTGCGCAGAGAATCTCCATTTCACGTTAAATGCAGAAACCAGGAGGGCCCCCAGGCTGCCAGTGGCCCGCACCCAGATGGCTTGGGAAGATGCAGACAAGGTGAGCTACGTGGTATGTGGTACTTCCATAGACAACCCTGGGCCAGATCAGCATACCCCCTGGACAGACGACCCACACCCAGGGAAAAAACAGAAACTGACTAATAAGCAATAAGAATAATAAAGACACAGAGCAAAGAGGGTGGGGCACCCTGAGTGCTGAAGATTGGGGGAAGGGAATCCTTCCCTGGACTGTAAATAAACAAGCCGGGCAGGCCGGAGAGGCTCTGGTGGGCGTGGGGGTGCACGCCCAGCAACCAGGAGCAGGAAAGCTTGTGAAGGTGGCGGAGGGAGGAAAACCCCACAGGAGAGGAGGGAAGACCCACTTCCCATGTGAGCTGTAAACAAATATGCTGGCTGGCAGGAGCAGCAGCACCACCCAGTAAGCAGGAGCAGGAAAGCTTGTAAAAGCAGCAGTGGGAGGAAAACTCCACAGGAGAAGGGGAAGACCCACTTCCCATGTGAACTGTAAATAAACACACAGGACTGAGAAAGCAAGTGCAGTGTCACCTCCCTCAGTGTGCTTGGAAAGGGGAAAGCTTGTAGCAGAGGCTTGCGCACAGGACTCTGAGTAAACAAAGCCTGTTGGGCCAGGGGAGTGTTAAGCTCATTCCTGAAATCTGCATAAATAACACCGCCAGCAACAGCAGACTGACAGCAGCGGGCAGGCAAGCCACAGCCCCAGATAGCCATTCACAGACCTGTCTCCAGACTCTTTTTTTTCTCTCTCCCTACCTTTGATGAGAAAACAACTGAACTACACCTGCATGCTGAAAAACTTACTGAAACTGTATTGCATTTGAACTTGGGACACTTGGTGGGCTTTTTTTTTTTTGTACAGTTTTGTTCTGCTTTATATCTCCCCTTTGATGACACAACTATAGAACAACATCTGAGGCACCATTTCTGGATTGCAGGCTGAGGGACGAACACCAAAATTATTAAGACTGAAATTTCATTGCATTTGAACGTGGAGGCTTTTAATTTTAATTTTTATTTTTGTTTTTGTTTTATTTTATTTATATATATATTTTTTTCTTTCATTTACTTATTTTTTTATTTTATTCTTATCTTTACTCTTTTTATTTATTATTTTCAATCCTCTGTCTCTCTAATGCCTTTTCAACTTACGGTTGATTAGTATACTAGCTCTCCCTGTTTATATCTTTGAAACTTTTTTTGTTTTTCTTTGTGTTGTTGTTTTTTTTCTACTGGATTATTTGTTTTTCCCTTTTCCTTTAACTTCTTTGCTTTCCATCCCCTCTCACCCTTCCATTCTAAATATCACTAGTGCTATTATTACAAGCCAGAAAATACTTAATTGCACAAAGTACGGGGACAATAACAATACCAAGGGCAAAGATGGGAAGACAGAAAAAACAGGGAAACCAGTTTCCCCACAGCAAAAATTAGTACAGGAACCAGAGGGAAATGAAAAAAATAGATACTCAGATCCAGACTCCAACAAAATGAAGATGAACTATGCCAAAGAACCCAATGAAGCCCACAAGAATAATTTAAAAGAAGACATACTACAGGTACTCAAGGAGAATTTTATAGAGATGATAAGGGATATGGGCAACCAAAATGTACAGGAGACACTCAAGAAATTCCAAGACAACAAAAATAGAGAATTTGAAAAAGCAAAAGAAGAAAGAAAGGAAACCATAGAAACACTGTATAAACACAAGTGAAACAGAGAACACGATTAATAAACAGATAAATGAACTCTAGACAACATTAAAGAGGAAACCATCCAGGATATGGAAAACCTCAGAAAAAAGAACGAAACAGAACTCCCAAACAAAATGGAAGGCCAATCCAGCAGAATAGAACAAACAGAAGACAGAACCACAGAACTTGAAGATGAAATGGTAATTACAGGAAAAACCAAAGAACTATTAATTAAACAACTCAAGACCTGTGAAAAGAAAATGCAAGAACTCATCGACTCCATCAAAAGAACAAAGAATCATGGGCATCGAAGATGGACAAGAGGTGTAAGCGAAGGGAATGCGTAATATATTCAACAAAATAATAATGGAAAATTTCCCAAATCTAGAGAAAGATATTCCCATACAGATGCAAGAGGCCTCCAGGACACCAAACAGGCCAGATCAAAATAGAACTACCCCACGATAAATCATCATTAAAACAACAAGTTCAGAAACTAGGGAAAGAATATTGAAGGCTGTAAGAGAGAAAAAACAAATAACATACAAAGATAAACCCATCAAAATCACAGCAGACTTCTCAACAGAAACATTAAAAGCAAGAAGAGCGTGGGGTGAGATCTTCCGGGCACTGAATGAAAATAACTCCAACCCCAGGATACTCTACCCAGCAAAACTATCATTCAAAATAGATGGAGCAATAAAAGTCTTCCATGATAAGCAGAAACTAAAACAATATGTGACCACTAAGCCACCACTACAAAAGATTCTTCAAGGGATTCTGCACACAGAAAGTGAAACCCAACTTAACCATGAAAAGACAGGCAGCACCAAACCACAGGAAAAGAAAAAGCAAGAAAGTAGAGAGTAACCTCAACTTAGGTACACACAATCAAACCTTCAAACAACTAAGACAACTAAATGACAGGAATCACCACATACTATCAGTACTAACACTTAATGTTAAATGGACTTAATTCACCCATCAAAAGGCACCCTTGAAAAATGGATTAAAAAGAAGATCCAACAATTTGTTGCTTACAGGAGACCCATCTCACCACAGAAATAAGCATAGGCTTAGGATGAAAGGCTGGAAGAAGATTTACCAAGCCAATGGCCCCGAAAACAGGCAGGATAGCAATACTTATCTCTGACAAAGTAGACTTCAAACCTACATTGATCAAACGAGATAAAGAAGGACATTCCATACTAATAAAAGGGAAATAGACCAAAAGGAAATAATAATCATCAACCTGTATGCACCCAATGTCAACGCACCCAATTTCATCAAACATACCCTGAAAGACCTAAAAGCATATATTAACCAACACAGTGGTTGTGGGAGACTTTAACACCCATTATCATCAATAATAGGTCATCCAAACAAAAAATCAATAAAGAAATCCAGATCTAAAATATACAATAGATCAAATGGACCTACTTGATGTCTACAGAACATTTCATCCAACTTCTACAAATATCATTCTTCTCAGCAGCCCATGGAACCTTCTCAAAATAGATCATATCCTAGGGCACAAAGCAAGGCTCAGCAAATATAAGAAAATAGAAATTATACCGTGCATACTATCTGATCACAATGCAGTAAAAGTAGAACTCAACAACAAAAATAAAGACAAAACACATGCAAACAGCTGGAAACTAAATAACTCATTACTTAATGAACAATGGATCATGATGAAAAATAAAAGAGGAAATTAAAAAAGTTCACTGGAACGTCAGCACAAAAATAGGAAAAGGGAAGGAAACAGTCCTAAACCACATTTTACTGAAGCCACTATTACACTATCCCAAAACCAGGCAAAGACACCTCCATAAAGGAGAACTATAGGCCAATCTCCTTAATGAACATTGATGCAAAAATCCTCAACAAAATAATGGCAAACCAAATTGAACAATACATCAAAAAGATTATTTACCATGGCCAAGTAGGCTTCCTCCCAGGAATGCAGGGGTGGTTCAACATTCGAAAACCAATAAACATAATAAACCACATTAACAGAAGCAAAGACAAAAACCACATTATC